TTGTCCATCTCCCATATGGTAAACATTATTTAGAACTGCTCCATCTTCCCTTTAAAAATCACTATGCCTATCATTCATATTTTATCATATCTTTGGTAGAAGTATTTTAAAAGGGGCAGGGGATCCTACCCAGAAATTGCTCCTGAATTCTTTTTTTTGGAGTCAGAGTCTTACTCTGTCGCCAAACTGGAGTGCAGTGGCATGCTCAAGGCCACCGCAGCCTCAACCTGCTGGGCTCAGGCAATCCTTCCGCCTCAGTCTTCCAAGTAGCCGGAACTACAAGCACGCATTACCACGCCCAGCTAATTTTTTGATTTATTGTAGAGACGAGGTCTCACCATGTTGCCCAGGCTGGTCTCGAACCTGCAGACTCAGGCTGGTCCTCTCACCTTGGCCTCCCAAAGTGCTGGGATTACAGGCTTGAGCCACAGTGCCAGGCCTCTGAATTCTTAAGTGATCCCATTACTTTATATAATACAACCATAAACTAAGGGCAAAGGCCCTGGAGACAGACTAACGGGTTCAAACTCAGGTTCTATTACTTAGTTCTATGATTTTTTTAACAAGTTGCATAACCTTTCTAAGACTCAGTTTCCTCATCTGTAAGATGCCATGACGATTAAAAAAGATAAAATGTGGTATCTTGTGGACATTCAATACTTGCTAGCTACTGCTAATAGAAGTATCTGAGCATTTATTTTATTCAAGGACTAGAGCTGAGCCAGAGGGATTACAGAAACTACAATTTGCTACAGTAAATTGTTTGAGAGATAAAGCTGTCAAACTCCCTTAGGTCAGAGGCTTTGTCTTTTTCCCGTTCATCAGTAAATTCCCTGAATCTAGAACAATGTTTAACACATATTAAACATCAATCTCAATATCTGTTGAATGAATGAACGAGACCCCCATTAAAGGAGCATAAGAGGGCCTGGCTTTACTCCAATATAAAGTTTTCATTCCCTATCAAGATTTTTGACACTGTTATCCTAAGGTACTGTTAAAGATGTTTATTATTTTAATTGCTTGCCAGAAATCTAGAAGTGTTCATAATATTTAGGTACTCAAATGTACTGTAATTAAAACTCCTGAGAGCTGAACACATGGCAGTTCCTGGAGAGTGATGCACCCAGAAAGGGCATGAAAGGTCTATACCTCTTTCCCCACTTCTTGCCCTGTGTATCTCTCCAACCGAATTCTTCCTAATAGCCTTTATAATAAACTGGTATATGTGTTTCCCTGAGTTCTTATGAATGGTTCTAGCAAATTAATTGAACCCAAGGAGATGATCGTAGAAACCTCCATTTATATAGTCTGTCAGAAGCACAGGCAAAACAACCTGGGGCTTGCAATTGGCATCTGAAGTGGGGGGCAGTCTTGTGGGACTAAGTTCTCAACCTGTGAAATCTGACACTGCACTGAATTAGAGGACACCCAGTTGATGGAAGGACTACTTGCTTGGTGTATGGGGAAAAACCTTCAAACAACTGAGGTCACAGAAGTATTTTGTGCTATGAGACTATAAGAGAAACTAAGTTTGTTACTCTGTAGTCTCAGAATTGGTGTCAAAATTTGCTAGAATAACCCTGGCTCACAGAAACATGTGGTTTGGGAAGAAAGATAAAAGAGTGGGAAGAACAACATTTGATTTCTGAGTAGCCATGTGGTCACCAATGGTGTGGAGCTGCAGCTGTGCTGTGCTCACTTACTACAGGTGAAATTTATCAGTGGAATGTAGTAATGGATCAAACTGCCAGGGAGTTGGTTAAATGGATGTATACGTAAATGCAAACTAGTAAGAAAAAAGCGAGTTTTTAAATCCCTGGGTTACTGCTATCTGTAATAGCTGAAAAGAAACTTAGAGTGCTAGGTTGGACCTTGATGCTAGACCAGGCTCAGATTTCAGTGAGTATGAGCTTTGGCCACTAGCCTCAAAGCTGTCCCCTAGAAGAATTCTGCAGAGACACAAAGTTCCTCTAAGACCTCTGCTCACTAAGAAAGTCCACAAAACCAGGAACCAGCAGGTATACTGAAGTGTTTCATTTTGTACATTGGTATCATCTGCTCCCTGAGGGGAACTACCCAACTCCACCTATAAATACTGCGTGAAACACCCCAGATGAAGCAGCTGATGTGCTTCATAAGCAAGCCATGTCAGACTGGTTTTATGATGACTAGGATATTCACCTGCTGAACATGCCCATTTCCAGGTCACAGTAAATGCTGTGGTTAAGGGTGCCCCCTTAATGCAGAGACCCCATATAAACCATACCTGCAAAACCAAGAAAAGAAGCCTTACCAAATTTGCTACTTCAGCTTCCTCTCATGGGTCTTAGAGATGCTAATAAAAACATTAAGAGGTAAGGCAGAGGGCAAAGTCAAAGGATTCATCCCAGGAAGGTGGAAAATTTTAAATGGTTACTAAGAAATAAGGCGAAAAAGAAAAAACTGATGGGGTGAAAGGGAAGAAAAGTGAAGAGTCATGGAACTCATCCCACAGGGTAGACATCTTTTGATGGTTATTAAGAAATGGGATGTGAATGCGTAAGTTCTGGCTCTAAAAAAAAATAATAAAAAGATATGGGATGAATAAAATGAAAATGGATGTGTTAAAGATCTAACACAAAACTATTGAAGACTGTGGAGACCACAGGAAGCCCCTGCTGGTCTCCCAACATTAAGGGGTCCCAAACAAGTTGCTGTATTTACCTCAGTCTGGAAAAATTTTAAGTTAGAAGGCAGAGATTATAATGAGAAATTTGATCTGAAATCCCCTGGGGCAATGGGTAGTTGAGTCAAGATAAAGACTGACAAACAGGCAAAGGTTTCCTGCCTCAACCCCCGGCTGGGGACCCCAAGCCTCAAATACACAAGTGGATGAAATGGTCAAGGGTGGTGAAGAGAATTCCTGGGACTCCTTGAAATGGGAGCCCCAGGCACTGTGGTACCAAGATCCATGGGTGAAGCCCTGAAGTGGGCTACAATTAGATTGAGAGGACGTAAAAATGTAAGAGCTGACAGGATTATGAACGTTGGAAAAGCATTTACCTAAATGCTCTTTTTATTTTATTGAGTTGGAGTTGTACTCTGGCACCCAGGCTGAAGACTGGCATGAACATAGCTCAAGTAGCCTTGACCTCCTGGGCTCAGGCGATCCTTCCACCTCAGCCTCGAGTAACTGGGACTGTAGGCTCACGCCATCATGTCCAGCTATTTTTTTTATTTTTGGTAAAGACAAGGTCTCGCCAAGCTGCCTAGTCTGGACTCAAACTCCCGGGCTCAAGAGGTCCTCTCGCCTCGGCCTCCCAGAGTGCTGGGATTACAGGCATGAGCCACAAGGCCTGGCCTTACCTAAATGTTTTATTGGAATGGATATCATGTCTGGCCAAAATTTGTTGATAAAGTCTTAATGGAGGCTACAGTTATGAAAGTGAGGGTTAATGGAATTAAGACAGAAGTTTATTGGACAGCTGGTATATTTGAACACGCTTCATGTGAGGACACAAAAACTCTACACCCCTTTTCCCATACCTTGCCCTATGGGTCTCTTCATCTATCCTTTATAACATCCTTGACAATAAACTAGTAAAAGTAAAGAAAAAGAAAAACTGCTGCTAAAATTGAACTGTCAGTTATTAGAAGACTCTGTGACAGAATTACCACATATCATTTCATAATTCAAAGTTGATGATCAAGACTTTAAAACTTTAAAATAATAGAGATTGACGTACAAGGCAAAGCTTTGCTTGCCACTACCTTAATAAATAGCCTTTGAAAACTTGTTTAAAACTTTTTTTCTCATGAGTTACCAACTAGATTAATGTTGGCAAATAAATTGATTTCACCTTATCTACGGCATTAAATCTTACACAAACAACATTACCGATGGCCCAGTCACTTAAGAAAAGTCCAAGTCTTTTACAACATCTTAAAAGTTTCAAAAGATTGTTAGCTTAATTTATTGTCTCTTTAGGTCAAAGAAGGACTTTTCAGGGTGATGAAAATGGAGAAAGGAGAAGCTCACCTTTCTAAAAATGAGTTTTCAATTACTATAATTATGCACAATAGAAGACAGCAGCATTTCTGGGCCAAGATTTGATGCTTTGGTCCCACAAGAATTAAATGAGAGCCATGCATAAATTTGGGGCAAGTTCTGCAAAAACCACTTCACCTCTACTGACGCGGAATGAGAAACTCATTGTTAAGGTCCATGAACAGGAATCGATTTTCCAAGACACGGCAGCCACTCTGGCAAAACTACTTCCATCGTCTTCTCTCCAAGAAGCAAAACGGGATGCGTTCAAACCCTGTCTAACAATGACCACGACCGCAAGTAGCTGTCTTAGCCGCCAGCGAGTGGTGAAAGCTACAAAGTAGAATCTAGTCCGGCGAGTCAGCACCTTGGAGGAGCCCAGGCCCAAGGAACCCACACAGCTGGCTATTGTATTGGTCCCCCACCCGTCCAGGGCTGGAAAGACACCAGGACTCTACTAACCCCTTGGAGAGAAAAAGCCAAACCAAAGGGCGGAGCGGTGAATGGTGGGAATCGTTCACAGCGCAAGCCGGCAGGGACACGGGAGTGCTGACAGGCCCCGCTGCCGCTGTCCTTGCCACGTTCCGAGGCGACAAGGCCCTTCACAGCCACCACAACCCACCCGGGCTCTTGTTTAGTCATTCATTCGACAGTCGCGCGAGGGGCACTCCGGCAGGGGCGGCTCTCCGGGCCGCCGCCCCCGCCCGGAACACCTCGGACCCGAGGCGCGGCC